GGGAAGAAACCTTTCCTTCTGGAACAAAGGGCCTTCATTAGAAGACAACAGTATCTAACTAGATTTGGATGCCAGAAGAAGGAAGTCATGTCAAATATAATTCTGCACACGCAGAAGTTAAATTTGACAAAAATAAACCAAAGCTGAATAGTTTCCTTAGTATTTTCCTCCCTTATCCAATTCTTAATGGGTCCACTTGAATTTTGGAAATTTACTTCCTGTTTCCTCCTTTAACTATTGGTCTACAATAGGATATCCTAGATGAAGCCAGAGACACCTTTATGAATTAATTTGTGCAGCTGGAGAATGCTTTCAGTAATTTCAATGCATTTCCCATCAGTGATTTATCTTGTCTAGTATCATGCTTTCCTCACAAGACCACTTTAGAAAGTATATTTCACTAGCTTAGCTTAGAAAAAAAAGATTAAGGAAATTGTGACAAACTTGAAAGAAAAAGCACTGGGCCATCTGCATTTCCCCAGATTAACTACCTGGAACTGCTGGGATCGCCTAGACACTGCAGGTCACTAAGAGGATGCGTGAAAAGCGCAGATATATTTGAAGATCTTACTTTCTCACTAGAGCTGCTACAGATAGCACCCAACTTACCAAGTTTGTATTCAGATGCACCTTACATGCACAAAATCACTGAATCAGATAGAACCCCATCAGATTCTTAAAACTTGACCCACCACCCACAATTCAAGCTTAGATAAGCAATTACTTATTATAAGAACTACAGAAGATGCATAAAGTACCAAAGCCAGTCTTAGACTGATTTTGGTTAATAACCCAGATAACTGATGTGTTCTGTATAAGGGAAGTCTTGTACCACGCGGCTCCCACTCTTTCACCACCAGTGAAAGAATTGGAAGAGATACATATTGCAGATAGGACAGTACTATTACAGAAATGCTGCCATTCTTCACCAAAATGGCACCAATGTTCTCCATAATCACTCATGGCAAAAATACTCCTAATACCATAACCATATTAAACACTATCACTATCACTTAGTCAGCTATGAAAGCATTAAAACTTCAAGGTGGACACAACTTTGACTTAAGCTTTCAGTCCGATCCGAAACCCATATTCGCTTTCATAGCAATTCATATTTGGCACAAAGCATAATTAGAAGCCACCATTTCAAACTTCTACATCTAGTAAGAACTAAAGTTAACACAGAACCGTTCAACTTCGCCAGACAGCTGGCATATAAAATGTATTCTTAGGCATAGTGAGTACAGATCTGCACACACAGCATGATCAAAGACTAAAAATTGGTTTGATAAAACACAGTTGTGTGCATGCACACATCAGTTTTATTGTAAACTTTCTAGATGTTTGCTTGTGATAAAAACACAAGTTCCACTACTTTTTTAAAAATTCATTATTTTTACAGAAAGAGCAACTTACACTGTTAAAAGAATTCAACTCACCTGCTGCAAAGAAGAATCCTGTGAGAAGCCAGTTTCTTTAAAGTCAATCTCATCATCACTGGAAGAATGAATGTGGCAGGTAGTAACCTATACAGAGAAATGTAGTTATTTGCGTAGTATTTGACAGCCACTCAAGTATGCTCATGCTATCTGGCTGAATCTTCAGTCTCATATCAAAATAAGAAACTGAATTATTTCTAGTTTTCTCAACTGCTATACCACATAAAACAGTCCCTGAAATACTTCACTAGCATTAACACATACATGAGTATTAGATACCCCAGAAAAGCCAAAGCTTTTGACTACTTCAGAATGTCTATTTAACATAAAAAAGCAGTCCTACAGCTGACAGTTATCTAAAACAAAAAGAGACAAAACTTGCATCTTGTCATCATACTGCATGAAATATACTGAACAGCAAGTGAGTTAGGAGTCACCAAAATACTACATTATATACAGAGATCCTCCTCCTTTCCTGTATATTAACAAAGGTACAAATTAAAGGGAAAATGTCTTAGGTTCATGGATTCTTTTTATTTTGTAAAGAAAATACGAGTCTGTACAAGAGGACTACTGAAACACATAAAAGGCTTCATACAGGGCAGACACCTTTCTATGCTCCCACAAATATCACAGAACGATGCTACAGTCAGGACACACGCGCAAGAGAAATGAAGCTGTTACCTGACATATATTGTGCTTTTATGCTTTTTCCTCTATTAGTATAACACTAATTTAAAAAAATAATTGTAAGTGCTTTATTCTTGCACATCTACCATTCAGCCCTGCACTGCAGTTTGTGTACTAGAAGTACCCCGACTTCAAGTTAGTGAATTTCTGAAGGAAACCGGACCTATCAACACTAAAATTATGCGATGGCAATCCACCAAATGATCTCTGGGCTTGCTGTATCTGCAGAACAACCGTTGTATCAAACGACAGACCAAGTCTACTGAACGTTAGTGCTCAGTGTTTATTTTTTGAAACTATTTCTGCAAAGTCTGCACACTTCAAGGTAATTATATGGCATCCTGTAACACAACCTGATACCGCCCCCCTCATGTGGGCACATTTTGAGAGGACAAAAGGTAATATACCTACTCCTCCTCTAACTGCAACTTGTTGGGCAAAAAGACACCTAAAACCAAGTAAAAAGTTGTTTATTTAGTTTTAGTTGCTGCTAATGAACAAGTAGAAGTCCTGCCCTTACTGCTGTAACAGAAACAAGCTCAGGACTGTTAGACATAGTGTCTTCTCCCCCACACTCTCCCTTTGGGAGCCAAGACACAAATAGCAGAATTATGCCAGGGAAGGGAGTGGGAATGACCACTGCAAATTCCAGCAATTAATTCTTAAGAAAGCTCCTCACTGTTCAGATCAGTTGCTTTCTAACACTACCACACAGCACAGGTACTTTTCACAAATAATGCCTTCTAATGTGTGGCATTTTTTGCCTTATTTCCTGGTAATATTGAGAATGCTTTTCCTTAAGAGAAAGGAACTATGTCGTGATTTTTAGGCAACCACGAACAATTCATCCTGCAGACTGTTATTTTTAGGCTTAGCAGAGGTATATTCTCCTCACCTAGTCTTTAAGTATACCTCATGATTATTCAATATCATGACTAATATTGGAAGGATGCCATGAAGAGACACATCTGACACAAAGTCTCTTGTACAAACCTAGTATTACAAATTGTATAGCACTCTTCGCCATACCAGCATCACTAATGCACCTTGTCTAAAGAGAAAATGAACAATTACACATTTGTTTAACCTTCAGCTAGGTAAGTGTAAGTAGGTAATCTTAGTGAATTACTGCCTACCTTCTACCAGGACAATTAGCAGTGAAAAAAAAAACCCCAAAAATAAACTTCCTGTAAAGTCTGAAAAGCGTTTTGGAAAAACTCTGAGATAGAAGTGAGCATGCAGCAGAACTAAGCTGGCAGTTACTGTTGTTTTAGAAAATGTAACAAGAACTTGTTTGAAAGAAAGAAAAGCCTAAAGAGGGAGAAAGAGAATGAAAGGGATAGTGTCGATAGATTTACAATCAACATCCCTGATGTAAAACAACTGAAAAAGAAAGTCTCATGGCTGCAGAAGCAGTTCATTTTGCATGGGACCTCAAGATCACATACCTTGTTCCACTGTAGTAAAAAAAGCTCTTTGTTGAGCACCAAATGACTGAAGCATTGAAAGTACTCACAAGATCAGTTATTTCATAGCCTTCACACAGCTAACTTATTTACTTAATTTTTTTAATGAACTTCACATCATAAGAGTATGCATACGCCTGAAGATCAGATCATCTGAACTTCATAATTCCAGTAAGTTGACTGAAGATCAGATATAACAGTAAACCACAGTTCTGACATCCAGGTCAGGAACTGTTTGCTTAGCTTGTTCAACAGCTTGCTTAGGACATGAAAACCTTGAACCAAGTAAATAAATCTACTCATCTACCCAGCAATAAATGTAAGGCTAATCCACAGAAAATTAAGAAAGGTGTGCTTAAGATATTGCTCCAGGGAAACTGAAAATCTGCACTTTAAATCAAGTATATAACTTTTCAGGTACAAACATTAGTTCCAATAAGCTGTTGTTTTAACCCAGGATGTTTTCAGCAACTTACAGAAGAGCTTGAATGCTCAGACATACCAAATTCTCCAGGTTTATAGATGGAGATGACAGGTCTATGGAGACCAAAGCACAGATGAAAAGCATGAATATTAGGGGACAGTATACTGGGAGGAAATACTTGGGGGGCTGTGCTTTCAGGATACATCCATACAATAACCATAACTTAAACCTGACTCAGCAAAACAACAAGCTGAGTTTTCTATGAGATCTGTCTTTTAATGTCTCCCACACCACTTTGTACATCCATAACTGCTTATCTTTGAACTAAATGCTAGTCCAAGGCTTGTAAGAATTGATCACACAAGCAGAAACAAAGCCTATAACTTCAGAAATTCAGAGACAAAGTATTTTCCAGGTAGCATTTTAGATACAAGAATTTGTTTTAATGCTTTGTATTTCTATTCAACTGAATATTGTGGAGTCTGGAGATGTTTTAAATGAGATTTTACTGTTGTTGCATCAAGTATGACCAAGTAAATTATTACATATCTAAAGAGCTGCCTACAATGTTATTAATTATAAATCAGCATAAAATTCTGCCTCTTTAGATTACTCTTCTTTTGGCCTTGACAAAGAAGTAGTTTCGAACAAGAGGAAGATATCATTATTTTGCAAGCACCATGAGCTACTTTGAATTCACAGGCTCACGGAAAAAACATTAACTTCTACATCATTTTGCCCTGTCCACAAGTTGCAGAGTTTCAGAGGAATTTCCTATTGCTTCTATTGCCACATACATCATGTTAGCATTATGATCCAGTTGTTATGTTGAAATAGCAAGTTTAACAGTCTGTTTGTGTTTTAGCCCAATTAATATAGCACCAGCACAAGTTAACGAAGCCACATGCAAAGCACTGCATTCCTGGAGAAGTCAGGTATATTAAAGTTCATTAATTGGTCTGCCAACATTGGAAACAGCCTCTGCTTATTAAAGCCTCCAAGTGATTACTCTTAAACTGTACGTTTAACATGATTACACAAAACCTCTTCATACTTCTACTTAAGTTTAGCTTTTTTTTTCTAAGTGTAATCACTCCTGCTGTGCGCAGAACAAATGACAGGCACACAACATAAGTATGCAAAGTTAGCTCATCTACATACCATAGATAAAGCAACTAACACCAGCTCCTGCAGCTTTAGTTTGTACTCTTAAAGCACACAGGAGCTTTCAAGGACACTAACTTGAAGCTGTAAAATATCTTTCTTCATGGCGACTGTCTAGGATGAGCTATCCAAACTGAGCTACTGCAAGATTCTCATACAAAATATTAATGATACGGCTTTAGTTGAAAAGTAAACTGAAGAACTGTCAGCAACTTGTTGATACAAATACATGGTAGTTGGGAAGATTGGTTGTGCTGCTGACAAAGAGAAACTGGGGCCCAAGTAAACTGCAGTAATTTTGATACCTTACCCATCACTACTTACCAAGTCCACTGTATTCCTCTTGTTAGTTTCTCCTAAAGAGCTTGTGCAGAATGTCTCCCATCGCTCTCTGACCTCCTCTGGAAGCTCTAGCATAGGAAACAGAAAACAACCCCAATTTGATACTATCTACAATGGAGCATCACTTAAAATTAAGTTGTTCTCTTCTGGTCTACCAAAAATACTGCAAAGAACATATACATTCTCCTAAATCCATAAGGATTACTCCATCTAGCAAACAAGTCCAAATAAAGCAGGTCAGCACCTCTTCCCATTTATTTCAGAGAGCTTTGATAACTGAAAAAAAAGATTTAAGCATATGTTTAAGGATTCACTTAAACCACAATCCCAGTGAATAACTGCTTTTAAATTGAATGCATCAGAAATAATCAATATTTTTTTTTATCCAACAGCTGCCTTAAATGTAAGTTTTACTCATTTAATCAAAATTTGATAATGAAAGCCATGAAGACAAACTTGACCATTAACATTACCTTTAATGAGCTGTTGGACTAGTGTGCTGTTTGGCCCCTTATCTGTGCTATGAACAATACAGTTTGCTATCCTTGTCAGATGACCCATATAGCCATGCCGTCTTCCTCCTTCAGCCCTGGAAGAGACAACAGGAATTCAGCTGCCTACACTCGGAGCAACTGTGCTACTATACTTTGTTATAAAACACTACCAGAGTCAAGAAGTTACACAAGACAAATAGCGCAGGGGTTGTTAAGCAGAAGATTTGCATCCTAAAACCAAAGTTTCACAAAAATATGTAAGAAATTAAGATACCAACTGGTTTGACTACACTGAGTGAGTTTAGAAGACTTAACAAGCATGTAGGCTACCAAGAAGGATGTGCAGAGTATCCGAACAGATTATTTCTGCTTCCATGTTTGTGTGTGTAGAAAGAAAAGTAGAGCATTATCAAGACAAAGACAAAATTAACAACAGATCCACAGTTTTTACAAAATTTCTGTTGCTGAGAGTATTTTTCAAAACCCCAATACACTGAATATTCTCTCAGAGCTTTGAATCCATGATCAAAACCCCAATACACTGAATGTTCAAACTCTCAAAGCTTTGAATCCATGATCAATTAAATTAAAAAAAAAAAAAAGACAGACCCAAGCCTTGAACTAGACTGAAAACTTTGTACAGTAACAGCAGTTCAGGAAGCAGCTTATGTCGTGCAAACACAAATCACATTACTTGATTTTCCACCATCATTATCCAACGCATGAGGTAACTGAAATTATGTTATGTCAATGCAACATGTCATGAATGAAACTTTATCATTGTTTACAGGAACAACTTGAGAGAGAGAATCCTGTCTTATTTCCTCGACTGCTGAGGTAACAAGTACATTCAAAACAAGCAACACATGATGATGGCAAAGGTTATAATTTCTAATACAGCATATGCCATAAAGAGTACTTGTATTTGACAAAGTGGACTGACTTGTCATTGTCTAGCCAGAAAGTCCAGAATACAATTGTATCTTCTGTTAGCAAATGTTCATTAATCCCAGTGAATCAAACAGCTTTTTACCACATCAGATTTTTGCCAGCAGAAACCAGTCACCCTCAAGCTTCTAGAGCTGCTCAAAATAACATTAAGTGACAAAATACAAAAGCATAAAAAAATGCATTTCCTGAAGCAGCTAAGCTAAAAATACCTTTAAATTATCTTAAGGACTTATTTTTTATATTTGGAGTCATACCTGTACAAAATTGGATAAAGGAACAGGAATATTTTGGGGAGTAGAATTGTCTCAAATAATACACCAGCAAACCAGCAACACTATCCCAGTCAGCTAGTTTAGTATTTTGACAAGTTAGAGCTAATGTTTACTGTTCAGTACCTCCTGAGCTTATGAGCCTGTTATGTCTGAGTTGAGAGCTGTATTACCACCTCAGGTGAAGACTGAGTGTCTTTTCTCTTGCTAGGAACACAGTTTCAGACATTAGCTACTTGAAACTTCCATCCTTTCACAAACACACACTTTCAGAAGGTATTCCATTGCTGAGGACTGGGCTTTTACTACTTAGAGTCTGTTGCTCCCCACAGAATGGGACAAAGTAAAATGAATTTCAAAGGGCAATGTAAGGACCAACACTGGGAAATTTTTCCTACGGAAATAGACCGGGATTTTTTAAAGCAACTTCCAAGACATACCACAGAGTCACAGAATGGCAAGGGTTGGAAGGGACCTCGGGACATTATCTAAGTCCAACTCCCCTGCTAAAACAGGTTCACCTAGAGCAGGTTGCGCAGGACATCGTCCAGGCAGCCTTTGAATATCTCCACAGAAGGAGACTCCACAGCCCCCCTGGGCAGCCTGGGCCAGGGCTCGGGCACCCTCAAAGTCAAGAAGTTCTTCCTCATATTCAACTGAAATGTTTTATGCTTCAGTTTGTGCCCACCGCCCCTTGTCCTGTCACTGGGCACCACTGAGAAGAGTCTGTCTCCGTCCTCGTGACACCCACCCTTAAGATATTTGTAAGCATTTATAAGATTCCCTCTCAGTCTTCTCTTCAGGCTAAACAAGCCCAGCTCCCTCAGCCTTTCCTCTTAGGGGAGATGCTCCAGTCCCCTCATCATCCTTGTTGCTCTCCTCTGGACTCTCTCCAGGAGTTCCTCATCTTTCTTGAGCTGGGGAGCCCAGAACTGGACACAGAGGGGGAGGAGAACCTCCCTCGGCCTGCTGGCCACACTCCTCTTAATGCACCCCAGGATACCATTGGCCTTCTCGGCAACAAGGGCACACTGCTGCCTCATGGTCAGTTTGTCATCCAGTCATGGGAAAAAGCACTAGAATGCTACCAAAAAGTAGTATGAGAGAACACTTTAATCCAAATATTAACATACAAGTGTTTTTAGAACTGGCTAAATCAGTTATGAATTGGTCATACATTCATTTCACAATTCAAGTTGTACATAGACAATTGCAGGGAATGAGAAAACTAGTTACTCACTGTTTCTTCTCATTCATCTCCCATGCTTCAAGTATTCGTTCTATTAATTGGCACTTAAGGAAGAGCTATCAAAAAAACAGAATATGCTTAGTAGCAGTAAAGTGGAATGCTATTATGCTTTTTACTGTTTATTTTAAAAAATACTGAAGTCTTACATGACAACTAATTTTAGGTTTAGGATAAATGCTTTAATCAAAGGGTTTAAAGTTCAGAAACAGCAGTCAGATCCCAGTCAGAACCCTAAAAGCTAAACCTACATTAATTCCACTTCTCTTTATATCTGCTGAGTTGTAGCAGCATAAAGCTAGTGAAATAGTAATTTTAATTCTTAAAAATAAGAGGAATTTCTCCTTCAAGTTCTTGCAAATACTTGCAGTTCTTCAAATACTTGCAGCTCTGCACACATGCTCACTTTGGGGCAGCAGAAGTCTACTCTATGGCACTTTCAGGTTTAATGCCTGAGCTGACATTTTAAGAAAAAAACGGAAAAATATTCCCGTTCATTCTATACATAAAGTATAATTGGGATATATTTTATATAAGAGTAACCGCTACAATAGCCTAAGACAGGAAAATTCAAGAGCTTCCCAAAACCCCACAAAACTTACATGTTTCAGTAAGAGATTCTCCCCAGTAGAATCCTGATCTGTAATTGTGCCATTTTCTGTGCTTTCAAGAGGACTTGCAAGAATCAATGCAATACAGATTTCTACTTGAGTATGCAAAAAGTTATTCCATGTATACTTAAAGAACATGTCCTGAAAAATAAATTCAACAAAGTTTACACAAACCAACGCCTTTTCATTAAACATAACCAATAGTTTCACCCCAGCAAGTCATTTGTATGACTACACTGGAACAAATTCCTTGTTTTACAATAAGTATTATTGTGCAAGAGAAAATTTGTGACCTACAAATAAGTTAATTCTTGTGCTTATTATTATCTGAACACAAGGACTATCATACTGGATCAGAACAAAACCTCAACTGTAACTGGATTTATCCCGGGGATAACTAAGAATGTTTTCTTTCAGAGAACAAAGACAGGGAAGAATGACACTCCCCACTTACATTCTTTCTGCTAGCTGCAGCCCAGAGAAGTATTATTTATGACCTTAGTAGCCCTTGACAATTTTCTCTTTTTTTTGAGTTCACTTAACCTTCTAGTATCTACAATACTGTTTATAATGTGCCCCTCACTTCAGTAAGATTTCTTATATATCTACCTGTTTTGAACCTGTCATCTACCAGTTTTATTCTTCTATTACAGAAGGCTACCTCAGATAATCTAGACGCAGTTTAAGATTATTAAACGCCTTACACAAGACAGACAAATACTGAGGTTGAGATACAATAAGCAATGTTCATTTAGTCATGTTCCTGGTTCTCCACATTTTTCCTCTTAAACATAGGAAAGATTTGTTTTCAAGCTTTATGTCCAGTTATTTTAGACTACTTCTTACTGCAAAACTCAAGTGATTGCTGTCAATGGTAAAGTGAAAGTAGTTATGGAAATGCATGCAGAGATTGGAACAGTATTAAACAATGTAAATCTCATTCAAAATACAGCTATAGATCTCCAATTTCCCTTCAGTCCTCCTAAAATTATGACAGCCTCCCATAAAGATATGCTAGTGGAACTAGACAATAACTTTTCCAGCACAGTAAAGCATGTGCTGTTTCAGCAAACAGCATGAAGCACAGAGAAGTTTATATGGCTAGAATTACTTTTCCCCCCCCATGTAAAGCCTGCATCAGAAAAGCATGTTCAAACCTCACTGAATTAAATTTACAAAATAATCTACTTATAAGAACATGCAAGTGTTCGTAGCATGTACATTCCCTTAGACAATGCATCTAGGAAAGATTTCACTTATGGCGAAGTTAGCTACTTGTATACAAGTTAGCACCTGTCTGCAAACCCAAGCTGTGCAGAGAAATTGAGATAAAGACATTACAACCACAGCTGTATTAACTAGTTGAATGAAAAATGGATTTTAGACTAAAAGATTTGGGGCAGAGAAAATATTTACACTTTAAGTTTGCAACTGCCTACTTAGAAGCAGAAGTTTACATCCTGTATTCAGAAACTGTAGTATAAATTCTAGCATGTTTTGCTAGTTGTTTAACTGATACCAGCATTTGAATTGTTTGGTCAACCTAAACACAAAGAATGTATCCTGCTATAGTTGAAATACGAGGTAGGAAGTACACAAAGTACATATTCCTCATGAGCAAAAGTCAGTGAGTTAACTGACTGAAAGTTTTTTGTGCAACATCTTACTTTCAGAGGTTTGAAGGCATATGAGCTACCAAGAATAACTGTCCCTTCACAGGACACTGCTGGGATACTGTTTAGTGTGCCATATATTATTAAGAGAGGAAAAGGGGTTTTGAGAGAACAACTTATGAAAAGAATGAAAACAGCAGGGAAGCTTTGGACATGCCTGAAAACTTGCGAGCATACAGATGAAAAAATAAATTTGTAATAAAATCACTTCCAATCTTTATGAAGGTGTAGAGAATAAGAGCCATTCAAGTGATCAGAGGAAGACACTGACTTCAGACAGATGAGTTTAACAGTAAAATCCAATATTAAAAGTTTTTAAATGGTGCGATAGAAGCACAACACAAACAGTCTGAAAAGTTAGGCTGGAAAATATACTATAAATTAGCAGCAGTGACAGAAAAAAAATTAGACAAGATCTTAATAGCAATCCATAAAAATAAAGAAGGCAGCATAAAGTTCTTACCAGTATTACTCCTATGCTGTTAAGCTCTATAAGTTCCTGATTCACACTGCTTGTATTAGTCTGTAAAAGGCTAGATATTAATCTAATAACATTTAAACGTGTGTTTCCCACAGGTGGATCCAATACACCCCAGGTTGTCTTCATGACACTTTTCTGAAAAAGAAAAAGGTACATACATAAAACCCATTAAAGTATCTTCAAAAAAACCCAGCTCATCATTACTACACACAATGACAGAGTAGCATTTTAAAATACATGCAATCAGTCCTTGAGCAACAGTCTTCCCTTCAAGAATCTCTTTCCATGCACTAACTGGTCCTTGCATTACAACGCATTACAATAAGCTTCATGGTTCTTACATTGAAATTTTAGCTGTTTAACAAACAAGAACTGTTGCCACATAACTAAGTGCCAGTAAGAAAAATCTGGTATTAACTACCGTAAGAGCTAAAAATCTAGTAGCAAATATGCAATTAGCAGGGGAACTAATAATGAAAATGTCTTCCTATCTTAATGCGCAAGCACACTTTGACAGGGAGACCACTACTACCCTCTGTAACACTGGATGTCATTTTTGCCTGACCAGCACCACCCTTGCGTCAGAGAAGAGGTGACTGATACCCTGCTAATTCATTTAGTCCATTCCTTACATACAGCAAAAATCTAAGGATGCTCACGTAACTAGCGCTCAAAATGAGCAACAGATTCAATAACTTCACTAGATAGCATTTGAGTAAGTTAAGTATGTCCAACCATCAGAAAATACTCAAGTATCTTATGTGACCCTGCTTTTACTGTAATATAGACCTGCATCTTGCCACATTGCTGGAAAAAGACAGTTTCTTTGCATTTCATTCCTCTTCTGCATTTGGAAATCCTGATGTCTCATCTTCTCCAGGCTAGAATTAACTTTAACTCGACACCTTGACCCCCCCATCTGCTATTTTATACACCTCTGGTCTTTATTTTTACTTTGGCCCACAGGTCCTTCTCTTTTATGGACTAAGGCAGCCAGTTCAGAGTGCAGTGCTACACCTGAAATTCTGCCAGTGAGAATCTGAGTGGAAAAATACAAATGGATCATAGGTAAACCCCCTATTTATACATCTTGTATTTATCTTTTGCAACAAGATGACATAGATATGGTGCTTACATCAGTTAAAAAGCCCAAAGAATTTAACATGTCTAGAGTACAGGATGCATGCTGTGGAGCTGGTCTACTTGGGTCTTGGGCAATTCTAGAGGAATTGTTTTGGGTTGGAAGGGACCCCTATTGTGCAGGCCTCATGTTTGGAACTTTGGCATGGCCCACAACTGAAGCATCCATAGTCCACGTTTCCCATCCAGATAGGATTTCCAAGCAGAACACGGGACCCACCAACTTAAGAATATATAGCAAATCTCTTCATTGCTTTCAGAAAGAAGCAATTGCTTCAAGGCTATTCTGCCAATTAAACAAAGTTTAAGCTGGAAAAGCATACCAATTAGCACAACACATTGGCTCAGGAACAACAATGATGAACAGCAAAGCTAACAACAGGCTGGGAAGGAGCCTGGGCACTTGCCTGGAAGTTGTCAAACTGCGTTTTGTTTGTTACTATAAACTGCCTAAAATACATTCACACAATGACAGTCTTGTTGCAATTAATTTGGTAACACAAGGTTTCGCTTACTTTTGGAGGCTCAAGTAGGAGCTCATGAAAGGATGAAAGTCGTGCTTTTATGGCTTCTAACACACTTTTGTTGACAGAATATGTTGAATTGCTCATGCCTGGAGGACAGATCTCTATATGGCCTTCAAATCTAAAACACACAGAAATAAAATCTGATCATTAATATCAAAACTAGTTGTAAAATATCTTTACGGTATGATTTTGAAAGTGTCACTGTTCTGAAGGCATGCGAAAAGAATGAAGAGGCAAGTAAAAACATAATGTTATAAATGTGTGAAGTAATGGCTGAACAAGATTTTTCCAAACACTAGCCCCAGTATTTTTGTTCATTGTGCTTGAAATCTCCAATATAGTTTTGAGATTAAACATTACAGCTGTTCTATTTCCTCTTTTGAGGGAGATAAAGAATTTCACTCATCCTGAACAACATAAACAAGTTGAATGTACCACAGAGATCTGTTCATTGGTTTCCCAAAGTGAAGTTGTAATAAAATTCCAAATAACTTTTTATAAAGTAAATATCCACTCACTGCGTTGTACACATTTACTCTATTCCTTGTATCCAGAAACAAATTGATGAAGTCTTATCTGTCAAGTGGCACTTAAACTAGCTTCTAGAAAAAACTGCATAAACACCAGTCATTGGGTGAAAGTGTAGTAATGCCAACCAGAATTGCTTGGTTTGCTCTTTTACTCCTTCAGCTACAACAGGCCACAAAAATGGTTCAGTCGTTACGTACGTGGAAGACACTTGCTATTCTGCTGAACAGTAGTTTATTTAAATTATGCAGGCATAATTTAAGTGAAATAAGAACACTTACGTCTGTCGTCTTGTCTCAAGTAAGGTCAATAGTATTTGGATTGCACTGACTATTGCAGATTCATTTTTTTCTTTATGAAAAATATTAGACAACAGCTGCTCTATGATTTCTTGCCTGAAAAGCAAAGCATTGGCATCAGATATAACACTACTTCAGAATACAGCTGTTAACAGCAGTAGCTACCATTTGCCCATGTAAAATTAATAAAGAGAGAACACAAAGAAAACTAGTAGCTATTTCAAGCTAGCAGGCACCACTAGGACAATCACTCCCATCCTCACTGCCCCAATCATATTTTCCTATTCCTTCCACTGAACTGTTTTTTTGATCTGACAACCACCACTACAAAAAGAGAGTTTTCAGTCAGATCAAAAACCTGATTTCAGCTGGCTGTAACAGCCCCACAAACCTAAACCCATAACGAGCAAACAGAAGAAGGGAATACAGGAGAATCTTCTCTAGCAGAAACACACACTTACATTAGCTTAAAACAAGTAACAGATGAAAGCCAAAGTCTCCCATGTGCACTTTGCACAGTATCAAGCTGACTTCCACATATCTGATCCCACAACTCTGGCAGCACAGGAAATATTTTAATGAGACAAACCCCCTCCAAGGAAGTCCTCCACGTGGGCTCTGATTACTTGTCGAGTTATTTTAAATTAAGACAGATGATGGGTAGCCAAGAAAATTAACCTGAAAAGTGGAGCTTGACATTTCTAAAGGTTTTCAAGGTCAAGAGTTAAAAACTATGTTTTTTATGAACTCAAAATAAAATCAGAAAATTCAGCAAACCAACTTACTTTTCTAGACTTGCAAGCAGTGGATCTGGTTCTGAACTGTTCTGTACTTGTAACATCTGGTCTCTGCTTAGACGGATAATTTCACAGAGTGACTGTGATGCATTTGAATGTCTCTGTAACAGAAAATATAGCTTTTCATTGGAAGAGTAGTAACATGCACGACTAATTCTTCAATTAAAATCTTCAAACAAAACTGAGTATGTATAAGGCTTTGACCTAGATTGGGTCATACGCCCTCCCTCAAATGACCACACTTAAATACTGAAATCAGCTTACTGAAAAAAAGCAAGCAGAAACCAGTAAAACTAAAAGTTCTAACACTATGTCATATAGCAACTTGCTGAACAGATAGACCCAGAAGAGTGTCAGACCAATACTTACATCTTCATCTTGAGACGGATGTACAATTTCCACAAGCCGCTGAATAATTCTCTCCTCATTTAGCCACTGTAAAAGAGTTTGTGGGTGTTAGCAAGAATGTTGTTATCCAAGTGAATCAATTAAAGGAATTAAAATTAATTATATTAAAAGAAGTAATTTGAAAATTGCCACAAGTCATACTGTCAGTATTTCTAAACAAGGACTAACAACACTTCAGAAAAAAGGAAAAAAGTAAAACTAGTGTTTCTGAGCAAGTGTAAAAAATGAAAGCCTTGGGGTGGAACTCTTAAATAAACTTTCTGATGAAAATAAAGTGTTCAGTAAGGTCCAAAACATTTTTGAAACTGCATATGGCAGTTCTAAGTTAGATATTAAAGACCAGGGGAAAAGTCCAGCTACTCCAGGTTCTAAGTTGTCCCCACCAGCGCTGTGGCTCCACTGCAAAAGTATTGACAGTTCCAAGCAAAAAAACCCTACACATCCAATTTCAGCACATTCAAGAAATAAATTTAGTAAAACCAGCAGAAGATAAGCAACCTTACAGTTCACATATCAGACAAAAATCATTTGACACATTTTACTTACATTTAACACTTCCTGCCGGGGCTGTGGAGGTTCTATGCAAGTCAGTAGCCTGAGCAACAAGTCCATGATAGCAGAGGTCCCTATGTGCTTAATAATGAGGTCTACAAAATCATGTTTCCTCTTCAAAAAATCCACAATCTAGAAATTAAAAAGAAGCAAGATTACATTTGCTTATCTGTATTTTACGTGGTAAATTACACCAGCCAGCTTTAGTTTCTCTCTCCTACCAAATGGAGAAAATAAACGAGAACTTCTTAAAAACTTTAGCCACTTAAAGCTTGCAGTACAAAGCAAGATAAAATAATACACACATAAAGAGTAGCAAAAGTGGCACAGGACAGTTCCATACTGTGTGCAGTGTGTTCTGCGCCTCCTCTCAAGCCCAACTTGCTGACCATAAACTACTTATAATCCAATGCACACACAGCTTTCCTTTTTGGTATGAATTGTTCTCATCCCTGCTTAATGAGCAAAGCTCGACACAGCAAAACCTTAACATAATACAAACAAATACAGAGCTTGCCAAATCAAAGATAGAGAACAGTCACAAACTTAATTTGCTCAGGTAAGAAAGACAGTCATTGCAGCTTTTTGCTATATTGGGCCACATGAACACAGAGTACAACATTTCTGAGCAAGGACTCCAAATCTCTCTTACCTTATTCTGTAACAATTCTTCACACCAAATTGGACCTGCTCCCACTGACTCAATGCACTTACCTTCACCTCTTCTTAATGCAAATATCACCACACAGAATACTAAACTAAGCTAAGCCAAAAGTTAAGTGCTCACACACTGATTGCACAGATAGCTCAGGCAAGTCTGAATGAAATATATCTTATTCATCCAGATGTATTTTTTAATCCTGTGCATACCATAAAAAAATTAGCATCTTCAGCTAATATGGAAGCTGAATGCTCTTTTTTGACTCCACTGCTATGCCTCAAATGTGTAGTCTTAAAGCAACACTGCTGAATACAACTTTTAATACAGCACTTGTTAAATTGGAGAGCTTGTAGATATTTACCTGTTCTGGTTTTCTGCTTATAAGAATACTTAGCACCTTGCTGAAGAAACTGGCCAGTAAAGGATTTAGAGGAGATTCATTTAAGAGGAAGCTGTACAGTTTCATAAGTAAGGATTCTTCTTCTCCCAGCCTATCATTGATCTGTGAGACATCTGATGTAAGCAGCTCACACGATATGTTTGGATATCTGGGGAAAAGGCAAAAAAAAATTGTCCATCACTCATACTTCAAAGCTGTCATACATCCAAGCTCTGAATTCAGAGCCTGGTAAGGCTGCTAACAAAGTTTTCAAGCAGGGCTGGTCTGCACTAATTAAAACAAACAACTGCAAGGTAATAGAACTGCACATCAAAGAACAGAGCTTGTAGGCTTGAATGTTAGAAATGGACTGTGTTTTTCAGTAGCAATAGGACAACACTAGGGAAGTGGGAAAAGGAAAGGGGAAGCTGTTATTTTAAGATCTATTGTTAAATCCATCTGTTCAAGTACTGATCTCTCATTTCAGAAGCCACTTCTTTTTTTTGACGGGAAAAAGTTAGATACCAAGAAGCAGACTGATAGTACTGGACCGATACTGGGGAAGGAAGTAGTGTGTTTGACCCTTTCTGATATAACAGGAATTATATTAAAAAGGTCAAAAGGAATAGCTTCAGGATTTTATTTATTTATTTTTTTTTTTACACACACATATATATATATATAAAATTATGTAGAAACTCACTAAACTAGTCAGTCTGACAAAGCCTGCAAGACTAGCTAGTACTGATTCATGACACAAGAGTCAGAAGTACAGTTCGGAACACTGAGTAATTAGACTAAGAGGCCATCAAGACCAGTAATTCCTGCATTTGACAGTACTATCACCCACTCACACTAAAGGTAATTTTGACAGCATCACTAGCATAAGGTTTCTAAGTGAAAGACAATTCAATTTCAAACTCTACTAGAAACACTTACAGGAGGCTTGGTTTACCAGAAATGGTGAAGTGCTGCAACTAAGATTGTAGCTTATTTCACTTTTTTTTTTTTACATACTGTTTTAAGAAAAAAAGCAGCTTCCTGCATAGACAACTCTAAAATAGGCCAAAAATGGTAGAAGTGCTTTTACGCAAATGGCTAGGTTGACTTTTGAGTTTGAACCTTCTCAGCAAAATTAGCTAAAGTCATGGCCATACCCAATTCTTACAGTTCTAGCTCTGCAAAGGAAAACACCAGCAATTAGACGTTAAGTACATTCTTCCAAGGTCTACAAGACCTTCTAATAAGCATCTTCAAAACATCTTACCAATCATCAATAAAACAAAGCTAAGCAGGTAAATATACACTACCCAAATATGGGGTTTTTTTTCCATTCTAATATTTTCTTAACCTTCACAGCTACAAGATTCTTCATGTGAATTCTGACTTTTTTTTTTGGTAGGCCTCCTTTGGACAGCAACTATTTTGGAAGCATTTATGGACAGGAAGCTTCCATTTGAAAAATACACAAATATTAGAATGATTTATTTAAAAGTTCTACAAAGCCCCTTGAAAACAAACTTACTCTAAAGATACCAGTATTGTACTACATGCCAGCACCCAGGGGTTCAAAGCACACTATAAAATTAACTGGAATAAGTTACCCCTCTTTCCACCTTCCCAAGTCTCCCCTACCCCCAAAAGTTTTCCTACTTATATCGAATTTTTTCATCCATGTCTTGAGGTGGCTCTTCAATAATAAATGAAACTAAGTCTTCCAAACATTCTGACTTCAGCAGAAACTCTATAAGTTTGCGATTCTGAGCCTTGCACTCTTGCAGAACATCCTCTTCATCCATCAACTCCCTCAGTGTTACATCTTCTCGCTCTAGAAGTGTATCTATGTGGGATGACGAATGGAGATCAAATTTCCAAAACATGCTGGTCTGGATAAGAAGAACAGACACAAAGCATTAAGTTCACAAATCTATTTAAGCAGTATTTGTAGTAACACTTCATAGCAGCATTTCATAGCTTCTAACCCCAAAGGTACCTGCATGCATGGAAGCTTTGTACAACTCAAATGAGACACAACAGTAGATGCTGAAGATCAAAAGCTATAAAATCAGGCTTCATAAAGATGACTGAATATGCCATAGTAATTTTTATACCTTTAGCAATAGCCAATATTCCAGCATCCAAAGATAAAGTTAGGCAGCTCCAGGGTTTTACTTACATGAAAGGAACATGCTAAACTGCATTAAGGAAAAAAGGATAACTTCGGTTCTCAATTGATTGAATTTGCTCTTCCCAGCCTTTGTTTTTAATCTATGCACCAAGTCTCACATTCAGAACTATTAATAAAGCTGGGAGGAGATAAAATGGGCATTGCATAAATGCATTAGAGTACCACCCCTACCACTGAAGAAAACACCTATAAGGGTGGTAGAATTGTAATAGTTTTAACTTGCAGGCAGCACAGTGTTCAACACAGACCTACTCTCTCACTGTACCTCCCTCCACAAACTTGACACGGGAGGAAGAACAAGGATCAATAAAATATTTTAACACATGAAAGGGCAGTGGTCCCAACCACTGAAACATTGTACAAGGCCATAATAGAAATGTATAAAGATGAGCAACTTAACCTTTCCTCATAAAATGCTTTGGCATCCCCATGTTAATTCTGTTGCTCTAAGACTTTGCAAGCAGTTGCTACTGAGACAACTGTGCTATCAGAAAAGAATATTTCAGTCTATGATAGATTCAGTAAACTTGTGCTTTCACCTCTCATTAAGCTCAATACAAGCGTTCACTCCATTCCCCCCTTCTCCAAAACAGGGCTTGTATGTGATGTTTAACCTCTGACACCGTATCAGCTGTTCTTATGTGAATGCAGAATTTGAGTGGATTGAAAGAGGTACTACAGATACTAGAGAAAAGTAAGAGAAACTTTTCTTTCCTTACAGTTGGAAGGAGCATGGTTTTGAGCAGTACTCATTTAAATAAGGAAAGAAACACTCCTTTTGCTCCTATAGTAACTGCTTTCCAAGTGTGAAGGATTAATTCAATATGCTCATTACTGCTGTGCATTAGCGACATCATCAGCTGCAAGGACACGTAGTTACCACAGAGAATGTGGGTGAATAGTACTGTTTTAGCTAGAACACTTCTGTAAGCTGCAGGTTGTATGCAGGAGCAAGCTTAAAGGCAATAACCGAACTATGCTTTTGTCATACACTCTTATAAGAGCCAAGAAAAACTAAAATAGAAATATCTAATTCTTACACAAACTAAGAGGTAGACAGCTTTAAGCATTTATTTCCAAGTTAAAATGGATTCAGCATGCACACCGCAGCTACTTAGAACAATGAAGTGTCAAATTTATACTTGAGCAGTTTAGAAAACAGATAAAAGTCCAAGGATCCAGCAAACCCCCTATAATCTCCCTTCATGAATCTCTTCATTAACAAGATTTCCAGTATTTGGCCTAAATATTGAAAACCCTGGTATACTCACTATGGAGAAGTTTTAATTGCTGTTAGGGTTTTCATTGTTACTTTAACCATTACACACTGATCACTTAGTAACACCTTACTTTGCTTAGCCTTTTGTCAGAAGTTGTAAGCATACATAACTAGCCCTAGATTACATAGCTTTCTGTTTAAAGATATGGGAGTCAAACAAAATCAATCAGGAAAAAGTACAGATAATTTCAGTTGCAGTATCAGTACTTATAATCATCTGAGATCCCATGCAAGGATTAAGTGGTTAAAAAAGAGAAAAGTTCTTTTCTACTAAAGGTATTAGTAAACTTACAAGCAGAGTTCAAAACACCTGATCTCACAAACTAGCTTAAATCAAATTATATAAAGTTGTTATTAAAAACACTAGCTTGTGGGTATTCAGACTACACACAGACTTACTGTAAGCAAGTGAAACTAGTGCATTATTGAAGTTACAGGATATATTTGGGGGGTTTTGTTTGTCTTTTAAGCCTCTAGAAAGTAGATCAAATCCCTCCCCTTGCCCCAATTAGTGAAAATAGCATCTTTGGAAGTAACCACTACCAATGCTAATTCTAGATGTAAATCCCCCTGCAGTGATTAAAGCTCATTTCAGTAGCTCCAATTTATTTCTCAGTTACTTATTTCAAGAGAAATTCAACAACGGAAAATAGCAACAACAAAAAAAAGAGGCATACTACTGCAAACATGTCACTGCGTTATTTCACAAACTGTCTCCCAGGCAAGCTCTTTTAGGGGGTGCTCCCTCAACATGTCAGGTGCCGGCCAGAGAATATTCCATCACTTTTCAACAGGAGCCCAGGTCCTTTGAAATAAGGAAAAAATAAACAACATAAAATGTGCCAAAGAGGAAGTCCAGGAACCCTGAAGAAAATAGATTTTTCTTAGGTGTTATCACTGGTGATAGTCTAGAATCAGCCTACCATAGCTCTGAATGAAGGTTTTAAAAACAAAAAGTTATTGTTATTCTTCCCACAGCCTACTGTTCTACCATCCCTCCCCAAACCTACCAATTCTGAAATTTTGAATTATCTTCATGCTTTTTCAGATTTCAGTCCTGTTAATAGAGTCAGAATTAGGCCTTGTGTCACAAATCAGAAATGCTCCTCCCAAAATTTCACTATCTGCAAATTTACTCCATGGGTCCATTGGGTTGTGTTACTCCCAACATTCAACTCCATTGCCAATATGAGCAAAAAAAATAAAAAATCACAACATTTGGATTCAATGCAAGATGCAAAAGACTGCCAGAGACAAGACATGCTCAAGATTAGATACTACAACAAACAAAATAAACCAGGATAATACTAAAAACTCTCAGATGTGGAAAGAAAAATTGTGTTAAAGATGGTAAAGCTGCTGCAGATATTTGACTGTCTTTTGTAACCTGAGTTAGCTTTCCATAATCCCTGAAAGTTCCCAGCAAGCAATAACAGACTTCCAATTCATGTAAACAGTACTTCTGAAAGTTTACATCAACAATCTACAAGTAATGACAATTCAAGATCCTAAGGAACCCCTAGCATTCAAAAAAAAAAAAATATTGCTTTGTCTTCTTAGTTAATACTGTTAGCAGATTCTTCTCTGAATGAATGCTGAAATAACATTCCATGTAGTAAACACCTGACTTAACCATGAAACAAAAGAAAGCAGTTCACCAAAATGAAGAAAGCCTGTCAACTGCTCCAAGATACAGGTAACCGAAATTCTCAAATTGTTTGCTAAAGGGAAGAAATAAAGCTTAGGAGTGATCCTTTCAGATGAGAAAACAATTTGAAGTTTTCTGCCTACTACAGCTGAAGAAAATCACACCGTGTATTTTGTTTAATAGTAACTAGTCTGTCCTTCTTTCTAGAAGCCAAATCCTTAATTGCAATCTCCATCAAAAAAAGTTGGTAACAATTGTATCAATAAGTTTCTCTGTAGCTTCCAGTCCACACAGCTGTCAAATATCTTTCTTGAATACAGACATTCCTGTTTTCAAGCTACAGGACAAATACATGAATTCCCATCACACAAGCATATAGTTGAATTTTGGACAATGTCTCCTACCTTTCACAAAACAGACTTGTTACTTTAAAGCATCCAGAAATCCCCTCAGTAAATAAGAAAACTATCAGAGCAAGCTGCTCATTTAAGTTAAATTTTTAAGCATCATACTTTGGTAAAACAGACATGAGAAACATACTTTGCAAGGAGTTACTTCCAACTTGGCACCTCACACTTCTACCTCACAGTGAGTATTGGTAGCTACAAGCAGGCATGGAGAACCAGACCAGTGCAGAAAGAAAATTAGAAGGACCTTGGCTACCCAGCGGAAGGCTGTTTTACCTGACAACTGGATGTTAAAAGCACATACACAGAGTTTCCAGTAGGAACCTGGCAGATTTTACAGCAATACCTAGTTTCATTTTTCAAAGAGAAACTATTTTTTTAAAAAAACGTGTATCACTTTCAAACTGAAGATTCTCTAATACATGAAAGTCTGAGAAAAGCTACATAAAGAGTTATAACAAGGACTGTAACTAAACTCAGAACAGAACTGTCCATTTTCTTAATGTACCATCATATTTTCTTACTATAGGACTCAAGTGCACAGACAAAAAAAAAATCAGTTACTTTTGCTTCGAACTTTTCCATGACTGAAATATTATGTAGCCTACTTCAGCAAAACAGGTTTTTACAACTACTGTGTAGCAACTAGGAAAATACAACTTGTTGGATTTAAGGAGAGCAACCACCAAAGGAGCGCTTGGTGCCACCACAGGCTTTCAAGAAAGTCTTACATTTCTTAGGGATAAAACTATTTCCAATGCTAATAATCGATTGCCTTCTAAAAACCAAACAGGTAGGTAGGTCGGCCTGGGGAAAGGGAAAGTAATGATAAAGATAAATTCTTATGCTTTTATCATAAAAGGAGAATTTACCAACATTTTTAGGAACTTTAAATGCATTAAGTGATTTCTTTAAAACACTAAGCATGTCCTTCTGCCAGCTTCACATAACCTCAGCCAGTTAGTCCCTAGGTATATTTAATTAGTTTTCAGTTTTGTTTTTTGTCCTTTCTCCAAACAATGGACAGTAATTAGACATCATACTACCATTTATAAAGTGCTTATTTTGACATTGGAAATGGACCATCTGTTCAGAACAAAGCTAAGCATGAGTGCATGTCTGAAAAAATTTTAGAGCATAACAGAACTACCAGTCACCCAAATTGACAAAGACAACACTCTAGTGGCTACTTTTTAAACTGCTTATTTCACTCAGCCAGAGCATCATCTACCGTAAGCCTGCTGTCTACACCTGCCTGTCCTTGGCAGGCTGGGGCACAATTCCTCAAAGCATTAAATATTCCAAGACTTATTAAATGGGAAAATCAAGCACTTATGCATTTAGTCTGGAATCAAGGGCAATTTGAATGTAGTATGAAAAAATAAGACACGTGAATTCTAGCTTGAGGTTCTGGACCAACACAGTTCTGTTCCATAAAGTAATAATGGTAATTTATAGCCATACACAGCCTTAATTGAATTCCCCACTTTTTCCATTTGATGAATGCAAGAAAGAATCTCTCCTATACAGCAACACGCTTACATTGCTGCTCTGCATTGAGAGTTCAGGGGAAAAAATAAGGAATTCTTTGTTTTCTATCCCATTAAAATAGCATGGGTTTTGAAGTACTGTAAAAACTCTGCTCTTAACTATTCCTTAGTTTTATTTCTAAATACTTCAAATAATACAATAGAGACCATACTTACCCAATAACTTATTTGAAAATAAATTTATTTTCAATTAAGCAGTGAGGTTCACTGTGTTATTAGCTAGAAAGATATGTCACTGTTCCAAGTCCCTAGATTTAACTAAATTAGTTCACATTACATCCAGCAATCACAAATTAAAAAAATAAAAGCAATAATACAGGAGAGTTTTCATGGTACAGTTTCTACATTTCTTAAAGTAAGATCAATTTGACATAGAATAAAAATCTCACATGAAACAAAGCAAGATGTAGCAGTCTATTCAGTGTCAGAACAGCCTGTTCGGGCCACCAACGTGAGCCCTAGTGGAAATTAATTTTTGAGAAATATTCCATTACTTACAGTAACAATTAGATTTTTACCAATATAAGCCAGTAAAGTTTCAAAGAAACTGTGGAGGAGGGAACCAATATATGGTTTGAAATTAAAAGGAATGAAACAACACAAAATACAAACATCTCTACCTCAGCAATTCAATACATATTTCAAATACTGTGCCCAGTCCTAGTCCTCCCGTTTCCAAACGGACATAGCAAACGACAAAAGATATTGAAAGGGAAACAAAACCAATCAACAGTTCTTTTATGGAGTGCTGGGAGACCTTGTACAGGCTGGCTGTGCCTCCCTTTCCCATCTGCGGGACATCTGCATACTCGCCCCCTCTCAGCCACTGTCAAGCACAGGGGGCTGCACTACTTGTGGGGAACCCAGTTGGTGGGAGGCTACTGAGGACCCCTGACCCTCCTGCAACACTGCTGCCACGGTCTCATCCAGGGGACCCCAGGCACAGGATGAGGAGGGGAGGTGGAGGCCAGCCCCTGTGCCCAAAGGGCAGCAGAATGTTAAGGGGAGCAACCCCCAGGGAAGAGGCTCACAGCACCCCCCAACCCTCCTTCTCCCACATGAGGGCATCTTTCAGGCCACAGCACATCCCCACCCCACCCCCAAATCCCAGAACAGCCAGGCCACAGTGGCCTCCTGATGTCACGAGCCACCTCACAAGCCTATAAATACAGGACCCTGGCAGCTAGCCAACAATTCCACAATTCGCTGAGCTTCAAGGCCCTCTGATTCCAAGGATGATTAGACAAAAGGGACCCACAGCAGCAAAGCAAGCAGCTGACTGCTTTTGCTTGGGAAGTCAGATGGGTGGTTGCAGGAGACACAGAGGAAGAGGAAGCAGCATCAAAGGGGGGGCACCATCAGCCACATGGTAGTGGTTCCATCTCCCAGCATTGACGATTATTTTGTTGATTGCCATGGGTGCTGCGAGCCCTCCTCTTTCCCATTCCCCACCTCTCCTCAAGGGGGGCCATCTTGTCCCCTTTTCTGGGGGCTCAGGGAAGAGGAGACAACCTGGATTCCACCAGGCTGCTGCACTGGGGCGACAGGAGGAGTTCCTCAGAAGGCCACCAAGGTCCCTGGTGCCTGAGGGTGAGGTTTCTTCAGCCTGAGGAGAAGGCTGCCGAATGGGTGGTTGAAGATGAAGCCAGACACTCTGTGGCAGTGCACAAAGAATAGCAACAGATCAAGAAAAGTTAAGAGACGGGTGTTCCTTTAGAAAAGCAGAAGACTGCAGTTCTGCCAGGAAGAAGTGCTGGCCTGCAGCATTAAGGTCCCTTCTAGCTCATTAGTTCTTTTTAAGGTTGGGCAATAAACAATTTTTTAAAAAAAAAAATCAATACAATAAACCAAGAAGATAGCAGCAAAAATGCTTTCCTCCTCTCTTATTTGGTACTTTGGCAACTGCATCTGGACTCCTCTGTCCCTTCCTCGTCTCAGTCCAGGAAAGACATTGGTGTGTGGGGTGCAGGCCCAGCCCCAAGGTCTTCAAGGTGATGAGGGGTTGGGGCACATAGCACACAAGGGCAGATGAGGGAACTGCCTCTGCTCATGAGGGTGGTGAAACACTGGAGCAGGTTGCCCAGAGAAGCTTTGGATACCCCATCACTAGAAGCGTTTGAGGTCATGCTGGCTGAGGCTTTGAGCAACCTGTTCTAGTGAAAGATACCTGTCAGCCTCACCTCTGTGCCTTGGAAGATCATGGAACAGATACTCCTAGAAGCTATGTTAAGGCACAGGGAGGTGATTCAAGACAGTCAGCATGGCTTCACCAAGAGCAAGTCTTGCCTGACCAACTTAGTGGACTTCTGTGATGGAGTGACTACATCAGCGGACAAGGGAACAGCTACAGTTGTCATCTATCTGGACTTCTGTAAGGTCTTTGACATGGTCACCTGCAACACCCTTCTCTCTGATTGTAGACACATGGATCTGATGGATGGACTTCTCAATGGATAAGGAATTGGTTCGATGGTCGCATCCAGAGCAGCAGTCAACGGCTCAATGTCCAGATGGAGACGAGTGATGAGTGGTGTCCCTCAGGGGTCCATATTGGGACTGTTTAATATCTTCATCAATGAAGTAGACAGCAGGATTGAGTGCACCCTCAGCAAGCTTGCAGACAACTCCAAGCTGAGGGGTGCTGTTGACATGCCTGAGGGTCATGATGCCATTCTGAGGGACCTGGACAAGCTCAAGAAGTGGGCCCATCTGAACCCCATGAGGTTCAACAAGGCCAAATGCAACATCCTGCACATGGGACGGGGCAACCCCCCAGCATCAATACAGGCTGAGGGATGGAGGGATTGAGAAGACTATCATTATTAAGTCGTAAGATTCAGGAATTGTGGGGGACCATTCCTTGTACATAAGCTAGCAACATTTCAGTGTTTTGTACTATTTGCAAGTCAAGTTTCACCTACAGACTGAAAAACAAAACTGCACCTTCTTGCAAATACCATCAAGAATTCCTGGGTAACCAAGCAATGTTTGGAATACAAGAGAAACACTTCAGCATGTTCACTGACTACTGTACAATTTAAGCTTGTACTACAGATATAATTCTTTCCAGCCATTATACTCATTTACAGCACATATGCTCCTCAGCTATCTACTATATTTTCAGAGGGTAACTACATACTCTTGAGTGAAATACACCATATGGTAGTCCTTTCTTGACTGGGAAAGAAACATATCAAAAAACATATGAAGACACAGTAATTTTCATAACATCCTCTTTAACAGCTGCCGCCTCCTGTTCCTCCTAATGAGGTGGCAAATTATCTAATAAGTAGGGACTTTCAGTCCCCTATCAGACAAGGGAAGAGTGAGCTTGCTATGGTTGCAGAACAGTTAAGAATTGAGACAGAAGTGAAATCACTTTCACCCTTATTTATCACACTAGCCTCCCTTATTAATGCACACTAGCTGCACTTCTATCTAGATCAGAACTATTTTTTTATATAATATATAGACTATATCCATCACATGCGTATATACACACACCCCTATTATGACTGAATGCCCCAATAAACTGTTTTGACATGCTGAAGTACATAAACAAGTCTAAACTAGTTAATGTTTACTCAGAGACATCAATCCCTCAAAATTCAAGGTCATAACCATCTAGCAGAAGTACAAAAATCAGCTGAAATCCACAGTTTTTAATGAAGTTACAAGAGCAATTTTATACCAAGCAACAAGTGTATCCTTGTCAATTCCTACACTTTATCTCAAACCACAGGTCAATAAGTGTTAATAAATATAGATCTTAATTACCTGCAATAACTACAAATTAGACACTGATCTCCTCTGCCCAAGTAGAAAAGATGAATCATTTTCTAGTAACTCCACTTCAACAGCCAAATATTTACACATTTAAAATATTCATTGGTCACAGAATTCTGTTAGATTCTTCATATTTTGAATTCTCCCAATTATCTTCAAAATGGAAATGAAGATATCTATGTACTGAGAAAAGCAGATGGTTCCATAACATTATAAAAAGCAAGCTAAACGATATATAGCTACCCAAAAGACAATTTCACACTGAAGCATGCAGTTTAGTACCAAAAATTCAATTCCTGCAGACAGTATTACCATACTTCAATATAGTAACCTATAGTGCTAAGCATCATTCATACCTAATATATGTCAGTTCATGAACACATTTGCTTTGAAACTCTTCCAAAGAATTGGAGGCTGGGCAGCAGATACACCTCCTGGCACAAAACCAAAACACTTTAAAACATGTTCCCTGTAAAACAAATAGAATAACCACAACAGTGTGTCTAGATGACGCTTGATTCTCATTGTAAGACGAAAGCCGGATGGAGAAATAAGACAGTGCAACAGCAGGGTGGGTTAAAAGACAAAGTTAGAAACAGCCAGCTAGAAAGCAGTCAGAAAAAAGCTGCAAGGAAAGGGAAAGAATGGCCACCACCAAGTTTGAACTGCAAAAGGAAGAACAGCCTAAAAGGTGGTAAATGTGAACCTACAGAAATCAGGTAAATAAGCCTTTAGTGGACATCAGGGAAATGAAAAACTTTAAGCATTCAGGAACACTTAAATTTTAAGACAGGATAAATAGATGCAGAAGCTAAGTCTACTGCTGTAGGTGAAGTTTAATAGTTTCTTACCTGTTAAACACAAAAGTTTTTTAAAAGTTAAAAAACCAGAACGATTTGTATTCTCTCAGGCTCCTTGCCCATTACAGGGTATCCTGGCAACAGCAAAAAATCTTTCAATCTACAGTATTAGCAGATTAGCAGGACTGAATTAGGATTGAATTAGATGAAGCAGATTTCTTCCTACAACGACAAAAAAAAAAACATTTTATAATTTAACACTATTAACAGGTTCCATTCAATAGCTCAACAACTGCATGAATACTAAGTATTGCTTTGCAGGGAATAAGACATATGAACTGAAGGAAACAACTTGCTAGGAAGAAAAGTGTCACTTCAGTGCAGCATACTCTGAGAATAAATTCAAAAGCAGCTTGTCATCTGAAAGACTTATTTTTAAACCAACTTTAATTAAACATCCCCCTTTACTTTTGGGAGACAAAGGAAGAAACTTCATTGCCTCAATGAAATAAAACTGCCTTTATAATCCACACTTAACTGTGGAATCTAACACGAATCTAGACTTTCTTCTTTTTTTATAAACTATTAGCAGTTTCATGAAGTAACATCTTCAGATCTAGAAGATCTGAAATACCCACTATTACAGTTTTTTTGCAGCAGTCTTTTCTAGCCTCGTAACTATTCTCTTGTTATATTAGCATCTGTGCAGATTTGTGGATAAATCAGAAATAAATGTACAAGCATTAAGAATGCCAGTTATTTTGGTGTAAGTCTGTATAAACAATTCAGCCAGTTTCAATATGAAATCAGTTTAACTGAGAAAAACCAATACAGTCCACATACAGACTTAAAGTAACCAGCTGTTTTAAGACCGCTTCGGTCACCTAAAATTCATTATTAAGACAAACTCTACTTTTGATAGTTTAATTATTTCAATGTAAAGCAAAAGTATCATTAAAGATACTGGCTTTAGAGTGACACTTGCCTGCCTGTGCTTTGGTCAACACTGAATAGGCAAGAAAAAAACCTCCTATCAATTGATGATTCTTTCTGATGTAGCTGTTTCTGGCAGTTTTAAGATGAATTCACCTTCCCATTCCACCAGTTATGGAAGGCTTTTTGATTTTGCTTTTTAACACAGGTTTCAAGCAAGACAAGACTTTTGTTTCTTTTGGCAACATGGGTAATATTGGAAAAAAGTAGAAGTACTAGCAACTAAGAAGGCTAGCAAAGGGTAGCATGTTCATGAATTCATGTCAGTGACTACCTAATATTTGACTGAAAAGCTTTGCTATCAGAGTTTGTCACAAATATATCTTCAGCTAAAAAAAAAAAAAAAAACAACCACCATCAAACCACACACCTCAAAAGCACGTCAAATATTCTGCCAAAGAGAATAGTGATTTAACTTTACACCTTCCATGTTAAAGATAACAAGCTGTGTCTTCAAAGCCATTTCTTGATCTTTGCAGATGATTTAATAGATAGCCTCTGTTAATGTAAAGATATATACTACAAATAAATTCCTCTTGAACTGAAAGAAACTCTTGCATTCTAGTTAATCACCCAGCAAAAGTGTTTTTTCTTAGCTTTATTAGGGCTAGTTAAGTTTTGTGGCTTGAAATACCACGATGTTTGTCATCTCCAGCAGCTCTGGAACCAAAAGCCACATTTGCATTTTATTCACAACAGCACAGACTCCAAGCCTTAACATACACAAAGACTAAACAGTACTTTCTCTAAGGCTATTTTAGTAACCAACATAGACATGAACTGAAGGTCAATGTAATGCATTGACCATAATACTTTCAAAGGTCACATGTGTTTTTCATCCTTAGACCTTCAGCTCTACGTGTCAAGTTGATTTGCCAATCCCTTGTGAGTCAAGTGACTTAACTAGAGCAGAAAAAGTAAACAAGTTTATTGGACTTAGTTTGCTTTACTAAAGTTTCCTTGGTTATCATTTCCGTATTTGAGATGTACACCTATATTCAGAAGCAGAGCTCCAAGAAAGGAGAGAATGTCACTTCCTCAATTACGTCATGTGGGAGCAGAATACAAAGCCTGCTTGCCTTACTGCACTTTCAGAAGAGTTTACAAATTCTTAAGATACTGTCTACAGATATTTCAATTGCCAATAAAACTATCTAAATGAAAACCACTACTATTCCTGCCCTTACAAGGATATCTGATATTTCTCTACTACTCTTTCTGTTTGAAAAGAAAACTTCAGTGTCTAAACACCATTCTTTAGCACCAGAACGGTGAGCTTCTGAATTCAATACAACAGGATTATATAGGAAAATAAAAACACCAGTGTAATCAAAATTAACAAGATACTAGCCATACAAGTATTATAGCATATCCTGGGAAGGATGGTATGCCAGAAGCCTGCTCTGGTCAATCAGGACTTTCAGTCCAACTCAAAATCTACAATAGTAGAGTTTGGTTTAAAGAATGACTTCCACTCAGTGGTACAGATGGTTTACTGGCTCAGACAGTTCCCCTCTGCAGCACAGATTAGGTGTTGAAAGGGACTGCAGTATGGATCAAGGAAAAAAGAAAAAGCACAGGAGTTCTTTCCTTAAAACAATAAGAAAAAGAATCAACTGATTGGATGAGCTTCAAGTCTATTTAAGTCTGGCTTTCCTACATCCAGAGATGGCTCACATCCAGCAATAGTTTATCCACATCAACATGGTACTTCAGGCTTAATTGAGGCCATAATGGAAGATATTGAAAATTTAAACCTGAAGATAACATGCAAAGTCAGGATGGAAGTACTGTCATGTATACATACTACATCCAAACATAAAACTATGAAAACTCATTACCACTAGAACATATCCATGCTCACACATTTATCTGATATACCTGAAAAATAAAGCAAGGCACAACTATCCAGGGTAGCACCCATCTTCATGTGAAGCGCAATAGCATGGTAAAGCCTGTTCTAAAGTATTAACTGATTAACTTTTTTTAGATAAAGAAGTTAACCACTATGTGACCAGCTGCCATAAACAGGACTAAAGAAATTTTATTAATGCTGCTTCTAAAACTGTTCCCATGCACCGCTATTGGCCCAAACACTGAAACTAAACAGGTATCTCTGCTTATAGAAACCAATGCAACATTTCTGCATTATGGTAAAAAAATGCAAGAACTGCAAGCTACTGAATAGTGCTGCTCTTACAGTAATTCACTCCATACATTCAAAACAGTAACATATAACCGACTATAGCTGAAATAAAATTGCTATGTAAGATTAGGTTTTTTGCAATGTAAAAAAACCTCGGTGAAAAAATTCCAGTTTCATTTTGTAGCCCCCACACTCCCATCATGGGGACAATCAGTTTGACAAAACCACCACCAGAACACCATCGTCAGGAACAACAAAGGTGTCTGGACCACGATTAATAATAGGGAGCACAGGTCACTGCATGGTTTAGTTCTATTCCCTCTTTGGGCCATACTGTACTCAGCACAAGTGCAAGTGTTTTTACACAACACTCTGCTTAAGAAAAATAGTAGATTTTTTCCCCCTTTTTCCACTGGTTTATTGGCCCAGAAAGATTCCCCAGTGAAGTCAGTCTAGCAATACAAAACTGTTTAATGTTAATGCTCAAGGCAGAGCACTATGAAATCATCATTTAAGACTCATCGCTGTTCCTTACCACACCTCTCCAAATGACTGGTAGGAAAAATAAAAATAATGTGCCCTCCTTAGAACACTCATGTCCTAAGGCTTACTACAGAAGTTAATTAGGAACATCTCCTCTCAAAAACTTTTAAGCAACCCCTTAAACATACGGTCTTCAAAGAAAAGAAACTTGGCCTTAAAATGTTGTCCACCACCATGAATTTGGTAGGGTGGAGATAGCTGAAAGGCAGAGAAATCAGCGCATCCTGATCTAGTCCAGAACTCTAATCTGTGAACTAGTGAAGTTCATAAAAAAAATCTGCATGGTAACAAAGGCAACTTTTAAATGCTGTAAGAAGTGGCTCACTTATGCTAGGACTTAATGCTTTAACATTGGTTAAATTTCTACCAAGCCACTTCTGATCTAAAAACATACTTAGAGACGAGAAATGTAGAAGGGAAGTTTTTCCACCAAGTTCACATGCTGAAACAGCTCAAAGGGTCTGTCAATCACCAGGGCCAGCATGGCCAAGGAAGAGAGAACACACCATTAGGGACATGGCAACCAGGATTTTTCTCTTCCATCTTTGCCTCAAATTACATCACTTTAGGCCTGCTACAGGATTGCAGAGTAAAAGTTCTCCTGAATCCAACGATAAATAAGAACAAGACATGTAAGGCTTGTTCATTTGGACAATTCAACATCAGTTCTATTATTGTTGCAACCACCTGATAATCTGCAAGTGTAAATGAGTACTGAATTCCTGTACTACTGATCTGGAAATCAGTAAAGCTGACTGAGTGCCTCAGCAGTACACTTTGCCCTTTTTGTTTTAACGTTTAAGGAAAAACTACTGTAATTTAAGGAGACACCCTTAAGGTTAGATGTACGAATTTTAGCAGAGGTTTTTTTTTTTTCTTAAGCATTTTTTCTATTCTGTTCCAGTTAGTACTCTCAAAAAAGTGTGGGCTTGGATTTTTTTTTTTCCCCCCCAAGTCTAAGACACTACCATCAGATCATAAGGATACAGTTACCATGGCTGCACTGGTGCTGTGCATGACTTGAACCACACTTTTAATTTTCAGCATTTCACTCAAGCCGCCCCACTCCGCCCCAACTAGATGGAACACTGCTGAAAAATAGCAGGCTAGAGATAAGACTACTGCTTGAACATGCTTACCAGTATTTGGCAATAGTACGATAAAGAGTTCCCTAAGGTAGTATCAGACACAGTGCTACTACAAGGCAGTACAGCTGCATCAGACACTTTGCTGCACCAAAGCTATTTAGCCCTCTCACTTCCCTTAATTAACCTGAGTACAACAGCATGCTAACTGGCCACACAGCTTTTGAACCCAAACCCCCTTGGCATAGCATACTAAACAGAAGCATACACATAACTGGCTTGGACATTTCTAGCAAGGCACTGTAGTGTATCATGTAAAAGTAGCCATTTTCTCTGAACAACCTTTAACTGTTCAGATAAACAAGTTCATCCTCTTTTTCACCTTGCTGATTAGACCTTGAAAGTTGGATGAAAATCAAATTGAGGCACATACATGGAGGTAGAAGAAAGCTGCT